AGGCAATCTCCTCTGTGCCATTATTCTACAGGGGCTCACAGCTAAAAGTTGATTTCATTATTGAGAAGAAATTCTGGACTTGAACTCTTGAGCAGTGCTGGAACTAACTACTGAGACTGGGGGCTTCTGGAGATGGACTAAATCTATTTTGCAATATGAGATAGTTATGAGCCTTTAGAGGCCCATGGTGCAATGTTATGAGTGAAAGAGATGTATTTGTGTGTTGTGTCTCAACCGGTAAAGTTGTGAGGGAGGGGTAACAATGATCAATAATCATATGACTGGACTGAGAAGCACCTAGAATACTGAAGTGTACCTTTGAATGTATCTGTGAAGGTGTTTCCAGAGAGGATAATCTAAGAATGAAAGACTTTCCCTGAAAGTAGGCAACACTAATCCATGGATGGGGATCTAGATTAGATTTTAAAAAACGGGGGAGGGAGAACTAGCCCATGCAGCAGGCACACTCTCTGCTTCCTGAACAACATAATGGAAACCCCTATGCTCCACAAAGCCCTCCACACTGTGACAGGTTGAAACCACGAGATGAAACCAATCCTCCCTCCCTTAAGTCGTTTCTCTCTGGTATCTGAGCAATTAGAGTCTCACCAACAAAGATGCCCAAATGTAAGTTTAATTACTACATCATATTTTAGCCCTTTCATAACTTGTCTGTAAGGTCCACTCTCAGGCTGTATTTAGCAATCCAGGTCCAGTCATTAACAGAGCAGCAGCAAGGAACCCACAACTTAAAATAACTTGCAATGGCTGACCAGTAAGTCTTCAGAAAGCTGGCAGACATGAAAAAGGGAGAATTAAGAAGCAGGTGGTAGACTAGTGTACTATAGTGATATTATTTTAGATACACGTCAGTTGTCACAAAAACACTATGGAGGAAGTAGAACTACTGTAAAAATGAGAGAACCACAATTAACTGACAGTCTATTTATGCCACCTTCCCCTGCCTCAAAAATTTGCTATTTCGGCTGTGCAGACATGCAAGGCTCAGTAACTTCAGGATGGTGCTTAATCACCTACAGAGTCAACTGGGAGCTCCCTAACCTAATGAAACTGGTTAGACTGGTGCCATGTTAATGCTTCACCCAGATGTCTATAGCTGGCATGTCAAGGTTTGGGGGTTGCTTTCAAACTCCCTGGAAAGTCAGGTCTGGGAATACTGTGCCATGTAGCTGTCTTAGTCTCTTGTCAGGGAAGAATGCTTATAACTTTCCTTTAGTACTTGTCTTTTACTACAAATGCTAAACATTCACAATGTGTCTCTTATTGTCTTTAGGTCCTTTGTAGCCAAGCAAATACTACTACAAGATCTATTTGTGCAAATTCCTAATGTAATAACTACTCCCTGGAGACAATGGGATAACATACCATGATATGAATAGGGAGAAGTGGGTGTTACATTGAGTGATACAAGAAGCACACACATCAAAGAAGGCATAAGCCATGCTACTAGGTAATAACACTTCTACAGTTCAAAAACCAAAATGCACAAAAAAGTACATGATGACATCTCCCACTCAAATGTCAGTTACTAAGGTTCTGTCTCCTAAAGAAACCAATGACTAGCCCATTACATATACTTCTATAGATATTTATAATTGTACTAGCTTATTTGTTTAAAACTAAAGATACTCCTCTCAGATTAAATATCAGTTCAATAGAAAAAGGTGGAAGACTCCTAGGTATTTACTCAAAGGATTCCAAGACAAGACATCCCAGAGATCCTTGCACATCCATGCTTACTGCAGCAGGATTCACAATAGCTAAACTATAGAACCAACTTAGGTGTCTGGCATCAGAGAAATAGATAAAGAAAATGTGGTATACATACACAATGGAATTTTACTCATCCATGAAGAATGAAATTATGTGGTTTGCAGAAAAATGTGTGCAGCCACAGATTATCACAATAAGTAAATTAAGTCAGACTCAAAAAGACAAATATTGCATATTTTCTCTCACTTGAAAATCCCAGTTTTTAGAGATATAACATAAAATCATGCATATATGTATGACATGAAAATAGAAGCTTGAATGTCTAGAACAGTGGTTCTCAACCTGTGGGTTGTGACCCCTTTGGCAAACCTCTATGTCCAAAAATAAATTACAGTTCATAACAGTAGCAAAATTATAGTTATTAAGTAGCAACAAAAATAATTTTATGGTTGGGAGTCACCATAGCATGAAGAACTGTATTAAAAGGTGGCAGCATTAGGAAGGTTGAGAACCACTATTCGAAGGGAACAAAGGGAAGTAGCAGGAGAAGAAAAAAGTGGAGGATAGCAGGGTATGAGGAAAACACTGTCAAGGTATATTAAATACTTGTGTCAAATGTTCTTATGAAAACCAGTAGTATGTACAATGAATATATGCCAATAAAATAGATGACAGGAAAGAGACTTTTAAATGTTAAGGGATTTGGGTTTCAAAATTGAACATTTTCATTTATAAAAAGATTTATTCATAAAAAATTTTGAAGTTAAATTATAGCTTCCAGAAGTTAATATGCATATCCAGAACAGAGCAGATACTCAACAAGTGCTTCCCCCTAAGCCTTCCTGCCCTTTATTACTCAGAGACAAGAGGACAACTACTTACTTCCTCCATTGATATTGAGAAATAAAATCTGATTTCTTTGTCTGTGGGCAGATGCATGTGTGTGCACAGGTGTGTTCAGGTGTGCACACTAATGTGCATGTGCAGAGGTTAGTCTCCTAGGCAGGAGACTCTAAGCACTCTAATAATCTTAAGTATATAATGGAAAATTTAGTAATCGAATAACATTAGAATTCAGATTTGTGTAGAGAATTGAAACAGAAGTCAAATATCCTGGAAAGAAATATTTTCTCGCAACTACAAACAACCCACATCAACATTAATATTTGACATAACCCAGGAAATCCCACATTGACAAAATAAATTTCTCAATATATTTAAAAGTAGCAAGAAGACCCAAATACATAGGACAAAATTATACAGGTATATTATGAGATTTATAGCATGACTATTCACAAAATGAAACAGCACACTGGCATATGGTCCCAATGACTGAAACACTGAGGTGAATTTTTAAAGTATATATCAGTGAAAGAAAATCCTACTGTTGTTTTTAAGCTTTAAGATAAAAGATGACTGAAGCTGGGTGTGGTAGCTCATAAATGTAACCCTAGTACTCAGGAGGCTGAGGCAGGAGGACTGTCCTAAATTCAAGGCCAACCAAGGCTACACAGTGAGTTTCAGGACAGCCTAAGCTACTATGCAAGACCCTGTCTGGAACAAAACAAAAGCAAAAGAAAAATTACTAAATTCTATGAACATAGAATTACCCTCAGAACACATATTTTTATCCCCATTCATTTTCTATGTTTTTGAACATGCCTGCCAAACATATTTTCTATTTCACACTGTTCTTTAATGAGTTGATTCTGAGACCTGTAAGACAAATACATGCTCATAGCTTTGTATAAACATACAAAGGCAGTCTTCATTTCCAACACGGCTCTGAGACAATCATCTAAGATGGCAGCATACTTTAATTCCTCATTCACTATCTGCTCAGGAAACATCTCAGTTTACCTGCTTTCCTTGTGTCACTCATTTGTCACCAACTAACACAAACCACAGAGGCTCCATGAGCAAGCATGGAGGCCAAGTCTGTCCTGAGACCTGTGATTTCCAATAACCACCTAGGTTTTTGGTTTTATGGTTTCAAGATCTGTTTAGGCCACTACTTCCAAACTGGAAGACTCCCGACTAGTCCCTTATATAATTTGTCTGAAAGGGTTTGGTGGTCATAAGCCCTGGCTATTAATAACTAACCAAGAACCATGAGACATAAAGGCCCAGGGCCAAGGGTAATTTACACATTAAAGATTAAGCTGCCTGCTTTCCATTCTCTGTCAGGGATCCCTGGATGGAAATTGAATGGAGTATACTGTAATGAACAATAATGCTCTGGCTTGGGAAATAGTCCTGAAGTGGCTCTTTTATTTCATTGGAGGATGCTGGTTGTGGGCTTTCACACCTCTGAATTAAATTAAACAAGGATGCTTGGCTCCAGTTTGGAGTGAATGGGGTAGGGGTGAGGGGAAAAAGACAGGAGACACACACAGACAAAAAAAAAAGGATGACTCAGATTGTGGTTGTTATTATCCATGTTATAACCCTGTCCATGTAATGTGCTGTGTACTATTAAATCCAGAAAGGATATTGATATCAGCCCATCCTTAACAAAAGGGGACTGACTCAAAAATTAAAATCACTTTTCCCTCTACACACTCAGAAATGTGTCTTCAAAGTTGCTTCATATTACCATTTTAGGGATACAAGAGCTACCCTTGGCTTGCAGAAAGCAAGGAAATAGGTGTAACTTCCCAATGAGACATTAAGGATACCTGTCTCCATAGTTAGGCCTGACATGGTGGTGTCACCACTCTGGGTCCTAGACCACACTCATCTTTCATTCGTGCTCGAACATTATTGACAAGAGATAAAAAGAACACAGACCTCAGAATTGGACACCTACCTGGGATGACTATGATGGGCAGCCCAGGTCAAGACATATTCAGACCTATTTCTCACCCTTCTGTGGTCTGTCCCCTGGGGTGGGACAGCTCCCTGGGAAATCACCCACCTCCTGCTCCTGTACCCTCTGCAGATCTAAACTGGGGTGGAAAGGGGAGTGGATGTTGATGGAGAGGGGCACAACAGAGACACAATCAAGCAGAGGAGCCAAGGGGCCACCTCAGTGTCTTTCATCTTGGTGCCTGGTAAATAAACGTTGAAACGGGACAAAATGCTTTTTAATCATAGCAGAAAGCCAGCAAAATGCTGACAGTTGACCTTGGAAACCCACAGCGTCTCAGCGGGAAACGCAAAAGAAGAAACTCCTTGGGAAGTGAAGCGAGAGCACAGTGCAGCACCAGGAGGAGCAGAGAGGGCCGCCCAAGGGATGTGGGCCGGGGCAGTGGCAGGGAACTCACCATAGATCATGGCCAGCCCGGTCTCGTGCAGGAAGCGCACCCGGCGGTGCTTGAAGAGCCAGATGGTGAGGATGGTGAGGGTGAGCAGCAGGATGAAGGTGAGCAGGCTGACGCTATCCTGTCGGTGGCTCTCCTCCGCCTCCTTCTCAGTGGCGAGCTCCTCCATGGCGCTACTGTCCTCAGCCGCCGCCCCAGAGGAGGAGGCCGCGGCCCCGGCCCGCAGCCCCCGACCCAGCAGCACCGGCAACAGTGGCAGCAGCAGCAGCCGCGGCGACAGCGCCCAAATAGCCCTCCCTGGACCGGGCTGCGCCGCGTCACTAGGCTCCATGACTCCGGGGCCGCCCGCGCCTCTTCCACGCGGGGACCAGCAACAGCCCGCGCGGTCGTCGGCAGCTTCCCGCGGTGCAGACCTACCCGGGTGGCTACAGCCGCAGCTCCTCCTCCCGCCTCTAGCGCCCGGCCTGGGCTGCACCAAGCTGCGGGGGAGGGGCGCGCTCAGTGCGCAGGATCCCCAAGCACCGCCCCCCCGCCCGCGCACCTGTTCGTTCCCCCCTCCCTCTGCCTAGAGCACGGCCACCCCGCTGACCAAGTGGGGCGGGCTCTATCCTCCTCCGCCAGGCGGGCGGCCAGCTCTTCCGGGGCGCCACGCTGATCATCCTGTCCAGGAGTACCTGGTCAGACCGTCTGGGGTCGGCTAGACAGTTTCTGGGTAGTAGCCGCCAACCTACCTAAATGGGACTGCAGAGGTCATTCGCTCCTGGCAAGGAACATCAGCTCGGATTGACTCTCTGCAAGATCTCCAGTCGTATCTCTGGCGCCATGGTTAAGAGTTTGATGTCACATGGGTGTGTGGCCTGAGTCCAGTAAAGTGGGGCCTCCCAGCAGTTACAAAACCATATTACCGTTCCTACACACACACACACACACACACACACACACACACACACACACACACACACACACACACACACACTCCTCTTTTTGTCACCTTTCGGACTGTATCCAGAGTCTCATGACTCCCCAGAGTCTTCCAGGCATCATTCAAATGAACTGTGTTCTAGTCTGTCTCAATGTAAGGATAGGTAAGGGCAATCGGTGAGAGCGATAAAATAAATACCTACATCATCTAGACTGCAACCAATTCCTTGGGGGAAAGAGGGTTGAATTAGAGGGAACTAAAAACTCTTGCCATTCTGAGTAGAAGAGCGGCAGATGGTCTGCCCCAAGGTGGGTAAAAGGGGCCATTTATCCTGATGACCCTTTTAATGTCTTCCTGTTAACTCAGAAAACAGGGAAGTCTTTAGTTTGAACTTTACGATCAAGCCCAACTCAGAATTATGACAAAGTCTTCAGAGATAAAACCTCTTGGAAAAAATCCTAATAACTAAAATTTTTCAACTCACCTTGTTTCTCAACTCATGGAAGAAAAGAAAGCTTAACATAATCAGTCACTGCCTGATATTGAGCACTCTATTCACATTTACTGAATCTCATATCCCTGCAAACTGTCCATGCTCTCTCTCTCCCAGAGGAGTTTGCAGTTAAGAAGATTCACTGAAGAAGATAGGAAATCTGCTCAGAACACACACACACACACACACACACACACACACACACACACACCCTTCCTCTAGGTGAGCATTTAGCCAAGACTGCTTAGTGCCTTCTTTACACCATGGAATCTCCTCATCTTGATTTTGGCCCAGATCTTTCCCTACTCCTCCATAAATATAGAAGAAACTGCAAACAAAAACCCCCTAGCTGAGCTTAGGAAATGCCTGAAACTGAAATAATAAAATGAATGGTGCTATTGAATTGACCGTACTATTTGAAGAGAGTTTCTTCTACAGCAATAGACAACTATAAGATTAATCATTACATAAAGTAGTTGCCTCAGGAAAAGCATGAAAAGACTCACCTGACTATTCACAAATATACACACCAAAGACTCCATTAGCTATTCATATTTATATTTGCAATCTAGCTTATTCAATCCAGAGGTTCTGATTCCAATTAGCATGGATTAATCCACTCAACTAATTCTCTCCAAGTGTGGTGGCACACACCTATAATCCCAGCTACTCAAGAGGCTGAGGTGAGAAGAATTGAATTAGGGATTTCAAGGCTAGCCTGGGCAACAAAGCAAGATCCACTCCCAACCCAAAACACACCTGAGCAGAATGCATAGAGGAGCCATTTAAACATTCTGAAAAGAAAACATGGACAGGTAACTTCATGAAAAACACCAGAATTGAAGCAAATCAGAATTAGTAGTGAGTTCACCATTTATTTTTCTTCCAGTCTTCACTAAAATAGACTCAAGCCAACCTAGAAGGGTGAATGGACACGGCCAAAAAGAGCTCCAGAAAGAGGGAGAAATAGGTCTCCTAATGTTCAAAAACCATAGAAGAAATACCATTTAATGTTTTCCTTCCTTCTCCCGTACACTGTGACAGCTGCACCGGGGAAGAAAGCAGTACCCTCAAGCACTCCTACTGACATGAGTGGGAACAGTCTCTGCTCTGCTTAGAGTGGCTGTGCTCCCAAGACACTGGATGCAATCCCCCATGCTTCATATTCATCTCTCTCTCTCTCTCTCTCTCTCTCTCTCTCTCTCTCTCTCTCTCTCTCTCTCTCTCTCTCTCTCTCTCTCTCTCTCTGCATTTGTGTGTCTGTGTGTGTGTGTGTTTCTGCGTCTTCCTCCTCCTCCCCCCCTCCCTCCTTCCCTACTCCCTCTTCATCTGTCCCTACATCTACTGCTTGGTGTCAGACTTAGACAATGTTGCAAGAAGGTAATAGCAGAGAAGAGTAAAGACTTACATTTCTCTCTAATAAACCAATAAAGGCACTCCAGGGAACTCCAAATTCCCAGGGAGACTGTGGAGAATCTCAGAAGAAAAAGTTGTTTGTGAATTCCTAAGTTCACTCCAACCTGAATGGACATGGAAATGATCCTAAACAGCATACCAAAGACTGTGAGAATTAAGAGACCTCCAGGTTTTAGACAAGCTACTGGTTAAAATATGTGTATGATCCCAGCATTTAGGAGACTGAGGTAGGAGGATAGTGAGATTAAGACTTGCCTGGGTTAATAGAAAGTTCCAGGTCAGGATGGGTTACACAATGAGATCCTGACTCAAAAAACCAACCAAACAAACAAAAATACAAGGCAGATCTCAGTAGTTCTGCATAATTTTTGAAAATTGAATTAGCTTTGGCACTACAATCCACATAGTGCAGGTCAGAATTTGTATTCTAAACCAAATCATGTTGATTACAAGCTAAAACAAAAAAAAAATATTTCTACATAGCATAAAATTTTAAATGTCCAAAAAATTTGTTTTGTTTTTGAGACCAGGTTTCTCTGTGTAGCCTTGGCTGTCCTGAAACTCACTCTGTAGACCAGGCTGGCCTCGAACTCACAGAGATCCACCTGCCTCTGCCTTCCGAGTGCTGAGTGAAAGCATAAGGTAAGCACTTCTCATTTTAAGAGAGCAGCATTACCCTGATACTGAAATTGGAAAGCTGAAGAAAAGAAAGGTGTAGGTCACAATCCCTCATGAATACAAAAATTCTCAACAAAATCTTAACAAATTGCATCTAGTAATAAATAAAAGGAAGCATATACTGTGGCCAAGTGATGTTCCTCCTCTCAGGGATTGAAAGATTGACTCACCACGAGGAAATCAACAATGCAGTCTCACATATTAACTGTCTAAAGAAGAAAACCTACACTACCATATCTTCACTGTGCAAAAAGAGTGTTTGACAAAATTCGATGTCCTTTCATGATAACAACAACTTCAGCAAAACAGCACAGATAAAGAGCATGTTTTAAAAATAGCATCATTCTTAAGATGAAAAAAACAGAATCTTTCCTTGTAAGATCACAACAAAGTCAAGAAAGTCCATGTTGCCACTCAAGTTCAATATTATATTGTAACTCCTAATCGGTGCAGTAAGGCAGGATAAAAAGAAGCAAAAGGCAAAAAGATATATTAAAACTTGTACAAAAGATGAAGAGATTTTAATGGATACTTGAATTTCTTTCGTCTTATCAGATGACAGAATATTTTAGAAAATTCCAAGGAATCCATAAAATCCTAGAACCAAATTAAGTTCAGTAATATTTCAGAATAAGATTGGTACAAAATCTAGTAATATTTCCAAATGCAAGCAATGTATACTTAGAGATGAAAATTTTTAAACATACCTAATTCACATTAGAAAAGGGAAGGAAATATTTAGATATAAATGTAACAAAACATGTTTAGTATCTATATGCTGAAAACTGTAAAACACTGATTACATAAATCAAAGGATACTTAAAAAAAGAGAGAAACATGTCATGTTAATGGATTGGAAAACTAAACTTAGTAAAGACAGGAACTCTCCCCACAGTAATGTACATACATAATGCAACCCCAATAAAATGTCCAGTAAATTTTTGGTAAATATAACAGGGAAATTTTAAATGACTAGGAAAGTTAAAGTAACTAGACCAGCCAAAACAATTTTGGAAAAGAATACAACTACCAATTTAAGACTCACTCTAAAAGCAGTATTAAAGTAATAGTAAAGTTTAAGATAATCAAATCAGTGTATTTGAAATTATTGGAAAGGAGTATGCCTTGAGCTGAACTTTATACCTTATTTGAAACTTAATTTCAGTAGATTATATATCTAAATCTAACATGTAAACCTGTAAAACTTTTAGAAAAAAAAAAGCTTCCTAACTTGAGACTACGCAAAGAGTGCTTAGACATGATTCCAAAAGCACAATTAGTCAATGAAAAATTTGATCATTGGACTATATCAAACTTGAAAATTTTTGAACTTATTTTTTTATGGATATCACTTGTCTCAGGGTGTTAAGTGCTATAATTACAACCATGAGCCCCCATGCTCAGCTTTTGCAAAAGAATATTTTTTTCTTTCCCTTTTGATCCAGGATCACACTATGTAAACCAAGATAACTTCAAATTTACAGAGATCTGCCTGCCTCTGCCTCCCAAGTGTTAGGATTAAAGATGTGTGCCACCACACCCTGCTCAAAAGATTCTTTTAAGAGGTTGCATATTAAATGAATCCTACAGTAGTATATTAATTGTACAAAGTAATGTGTTTCATTATGACATTTTCATATATGAATATAACATACTTTGATCATATTCACTGCTTCTTTTCTCTTTGACATCCCTAATAGGAGGACAATCTTGAAAATCAAAACTATTATTCTGTTGAACAGACCAGTAGTTTCTAGGGAGTCAATGGAAAGGGAGGGAGGGAATAACTGGGATAAATGAGTCAAGGGAGGTTGGGAGGTGGAACTGTTCTGTACCATAATTGTGATGGTGGCAATATGAATCAGCACATGTGTTAAGTTGATATAACTGTGCAGTATAAGTGAATTTCACTACAGATCAATTTAAACAAGTCTTCCCTTTGATTATGCTCTTACGTAGTCTCCATTTTG